CCCAATGGGCTCAGAAATCTCATCAGGAAAATAATCACAGCAGCAGGGGTAGAAACCATCTTTGGGCTGCCACAGTTCCCACTGAACATCCTCATTCCACTGTCCAGGCATTGAATTTAAAGGTGCATTTTAAAAAGGCAACTGATTTTGACTACATCAGAGCTCTGCTTGCTTCCATTTTCCTTGAGTACCCAGAGTTTAAGGCACATATTTCTATTTCCATAAACCAAAGACATCACCTCACCTGACAAGAAAACCAAATCTAGAGCATCCTTCTCATAATAACAATTCACTGTATGAACATGACACTTAAATCCCAACTCTGCACTCTGACCACCAACCTTTTGGTAGTTTGCTTTTTACACAGTGGATTGGGCAAGGCTTAAAAATCCCAGCTCAGATGTTGAAAATTCAGATTACTTCGTCTGCACGACAGCTCCTACTTCCACTACTCCATCTTCCTGACTGATTCAAAGTTCACAGAAGTGAACTTCATTCCAAACCCAAGAGAAAAAAAGTGAAATTTGGTTGTGAACCATGGGATTGACCTGTCTAGCCAGCTCACTGAACAGATAATAACATTAAACCCCAGGACTGAATTCAGCTAATGAGTGCCTTGTAGCATGCTGGCATTTCAGGAACAAGTCTAAGCTCAGGTTGAGGCTATTAAAATCTATTCAGTGAAATCATCCCTTTTTTAAAGAGGTGTTGTTAAGGAGACATTTTTCTCACCTTAAACATTAGGYTGAATTCAGAGAAGGCTGCTGGAAGAATTATCTTTGCAAGTGGTTTTCTCTGGCATAATCAAATGTGTTTATTCCCTTTTTTTTTTTTCTTTCTCCTGTTACATTATTCATTGGAGCCATGGGTAAGGAAAGATGCTAATCAAAAAAGTTTTGGCCAATTTTGAGGGCAGTGCTCATTATTCATTCTCAGTCATCCCTTGTCCTCTTTTGTTGTGACATTCTTTAAAGGAAGAGCTCTTAAATGGAGTAGCAAACATTTCATTATTCCACATATTTTAGAAGGGCTGAGGAGAAAATAGAGGCTGGTAGATGAAAGGAAGCTCATTAAAATCCACACATTTTCATCTCTACTTGTCACACACGGCAATTAGGATGTGATACAGGTCATATTAAAATTCATGGGATATGCACCTAGGGCCAGGAAGTTCATTCTTAAGAGTTCCTATTATGAGAAGTTTAAGGAAAAGCTTTCAAATGAAAATCTGTTCTAGGTCAGAGAGGAATGTTCCACTTTGGGAATTCCAAAGGAGGATTCCCAAGGACTGGAARGGAGCAGCCCTGGTGGGGACCCAGMACASGAGAAATTCTGTGCTGGTGGMTCTTGGKRCCAGCTCAATGCCTGATGTGCCACCCTCTCATCTCTTCTTTCAGTGAACAAAATCACCACTCAAATGGCACAAAATCACCACTCAAATGGCACAAAATCACCACTCAAATGGCACAAAATCATCACTCAAATGACACAAAATCACCACTCAAATGACAGTAACACCACAAACTCGTCATGTTTTAACTTCACACTCTCTCCAGATCTTCGCCCCCGCTTCGCACCAAAGTGCCTCCAGTTTTTCCTGAATAACATCCCATGATTCAGCTTTCCCTCCTCACTCACTCATTGATCTCTCTCCAAACTTTCATTTAAACACATCAGTTAAAGTRCTATCTGTCCATTTTTATAATTTTCATGGATAATTCTGCTTCCACTGCACATTTTATCCTCTTTCCCTTCCCTTCCCGACTCCTCCTCACACACATGTCCCAGAGAGGTCCTGACCCATCAAAAGACTCCTGTGCACCACACAAATTAAAAAGAAATAATAAACAAAACCCCTTAAGGATTACCTTATTGAACAGGTGGCAACAYTGCACAAAAATTAACAAATATGGGGCAAGCAAACAATGATGCTCTGAGGGGTTTCATCGAGCCTGGGGAAAGCCCCAAATAAGATGAGACAAAGGAAATCATGATGAGACAAATATTGGATTGTGCAGGGAACAAACACGGGGAGATCTGTGAAATACAGAACAAAAGTGCACTGAGCCCCACTCTGAGCACTGCCATGTGAATAAACATTAYTCCTTTATTTTCTAAATGCTTTTGGAATTCAGGATGGCCAGAACAAGAACTGCAAGTTTAAGTTTTGTAAATCAAATGAAAATAATTACAGAATTAATTGTGGCAGACTTGGGCCACRCTGAGGGGTGTTATTGGGCACCTCAGCCCTGTAAATCTCTTGATGATGAATTCCTGCCTGCAGTCAGAACCCTGGACCCTAAAGGGATCTGCCCCACAGATGGGAGCTGAGGAACCATGTACCAAACTCTATAAAAGCCTCATAAAAGAAAAACATTGATGTTAACAAGGCTCTTTCCAGTGATKTGAGTGGGCTTTGGATGGAGGCCTATACAAACAAGGATGGGATTAGAAAATGGAAATCTATATAAATACACAAACMCTGTCAATCCAACTGTTTACCTTCCAAGGATGACCTAGTACCACTCRATTTATGAGGCACTCAAAGGACAAGGAGGCAGATTGATGTTTTTAACTGTTACCTAAATTGAGTATTTGCAAATATTGATTCTGGTATTTTCAACAATAAAGACTGCAAACCCGCTGGCATCAACTGGATTTCTTCCTACATTAATATTTCAGAGATTGCAAATACCTCTATTCTGGCCACCTTCAGTGATCAGCTGAAGTGAATTGAGTGTGTTTTATCAGTTTTGTGCCATGTCCTTGGGACGGCTCCGTTCGATTCCCACTCTGYTCCAAAGCCGGGGCTGATCAGGACCATCTGCTCAGCCAAAGGGCACATCACACCCTCCCATTCCTGCTCCTTCCCCATCCCARCTCCCAGCCAGGCCATTGTTTGTTACAACTAATTAATCCCTCATGTCCTGGCTGCCAGTGAGCCTCACAAACCCCAAATTCTGGTATTTACTGCATGTCCAGTGAAGTAATTCCACTTCTGGAGGGATGCACAAACACACATTTGTGTCCACACAAGCACAACACATGTCCTTACCCAGCCAGATTATTATTCATCATTACTGATATCTGTTTGACAACTATTTCTAATAATAATATTAACATTATCTGGCCTCTCAACATCCAAATGGGAGTAAATTTAGGCATGTGTTAGTACTTAAAACATCTCTCTGAGGGCCAGATTTKCAGATCTTCACTCCAAACTGCTCCCTGGTGACGTGGTGACATGGCACAAAGCATCAGAGTTACTGCCCTGCCAGGACCTGCCCCTTGCCCACCCCTGGGTGAGGAGAAGGGAGAAATTTCAAGTATTGTAGCCAGAACTTTTAAYGCTGCAGCTCTTCCTGCCAAACCCTCCTGTTTTCTCTCACATCTTTAACAAACCCGGACCCTTCTCCTYGATGTGTGTTCACCTCAGGGCTTTTCACTCCTCTCACAGTTTCAACAGCTCAGCTGCTCCCAGGGAATTCCRCTGAATTTTCCCATATTAAACAAGCCCAGCAGCCAATTTGCTGAGTTGATGTCCATCACGCTTTTCCTGGGTCATGGAGAGGGATTTTGGTGGAGATCAGCTGCTTGTTGCACCTCTGGCTATTTTTAAAAAAGCTCAGAAGTTTTAAAACCTCTTCTTGCACATGGCTGGGGAAAGCTTGGCAGCTCAGCTGTGCCAAAGAGCTCAGATTTGCTGTGGAAGGAAGGTTTGAGCCATTTCCAGCTGCTTTTKGTGGCACCTCATGAGCCTCTCCCAYTCTGCCCTYRACTTTGTGYTTGGYYRTGCACAGGAAGAGAAGGAGGCTGAGGAAGAACATCCCCTGACTGAAAGCAGAAATAAAATCACTCCCTGGAGCTGGAGAATCAGGTRCAGTCAGGAGTGAAAACCAGAAAATCAGGTGAATCCTGCATGTGWCAGTTGGTTTGTCCACACTGAAGAGTTTTCTGGGGAAGGTGGAATTCTTTTTTTCTTTAACTTTTTTAATTCCATAATTTCCTATATAGAAAAATGACTGTGGTTCCATTTGCAAAATCTAGCATTCTTGGAAAACTACTAAATTCCAGCTACCTGTCAGAGCTCACCACACTTCCCTCTGTTTTGCTGTACTGATGGTTCTAAATCACAAATTTTGTGCCAGATGCCCCAGTCATTAACACAAAGTTTCCTCCTGAAGAAAAGGGGAGTTCAGCTGTGGGAGAATGAGATTTGGCCCCAAATTTTACAACTCTAAAACTCCATGGACCAAACTTACTCCCAAGCATCCCAAACCAGTGAAGTACCTACCAGAGGCTCAGGGGACACAGAAAGGAATTGCTCATTTGGGGTGGTGCAATGAGGTGTTAATGGGACCCAAGTTGCTGCAAACTTTGGAAAATGGTATTTAAAGTGGCCCTTTTATTATAAGGCATTTTTGTTGCTTTTTAACTCCTTTATTTCACGGGTCAATAACTAAATTGAGCTTGTTAGGGCATAGTCTTTTTTCAGGAAGATTTCTGTTWACATATCTTCCTCTGGAGGGCTTCAAAGCGAAATCTCAAAGAAATTCACAAGTTTAGAAGTGAAATTAATTCAGAAACCTCTCTGAGATTAAAGTGACAAGGCATAAGGTGAGATGTCACTACGCATAATCACCTTTCACTATGAAATCTGTCGCTGTTCTTTTGCTTACAGAACAGCAGCTTTCACAGCAAGCCAGTTGCCAAATGTAATTAAGAATAATTAAGAAGGAAAAGTCCGAAGACCAGCCAGAGTACAGCAGAACGAACACGTTCCGACTCTGAAATAATCTCTTTACTTGAAAGGGAAAGAGTTAAAAAGTCTGTAAAAGTTCTGCAGGATATTAAAATTTAAAGCGTTGTCATTATCATCACCACAACCGCATTTATTATTACCAAAGCTGCCATTAACTGGATATTCACTAATGCTAAAAGTCACAGACAGCGTGAGATTCAGCAGGCTCCAGACTCTGGAGGAGGAGGTGGAAAGTTACCTGGTGGCGTTTCAAGAATGGATTTTCCCTTTTTGTTGTTTTTCTTCGGTTTTAACTCCTTCCTGCTCGCTTTGAGCGCGGGGCGCTCCTCCGTCTCCGCAGCACGGACAGGTCCTTCCTCTCCGGGCTGCTCCGTGAAAGGGAAAAACTCTTCCCCGGGATACGGAAAGGAGTAATAATGATCCCTGTCGGTGATTTCCTGCAGGTAATAATCCTGCTCGTCCATGGGGACAGCCCGGGACACATCCCCCAGCAGCGCCAGCCCCAGGGCGCACAGAGCCAGGCGCAGTCCGGAACGGCCACGGGCGATCATCGCTGGATCTTCCTCTGCCAGTCCGGAAAGTTTTTTATTTTGGAGAGGGGGCAAACAGAGTTCGGGAGGATGGAAAAACCCCGCGGAGGAAGGAGATGGAGCCGGGCGCTGGAGGAGCAGAGGGACGCGGACGGACAGCCGGACACACGGACACTCGGACACTCGGACAGCCGGACACTCGGACAGCCGGACACTCGGACAGCCGGACACACGGACAGCCGGACACACGGACAGTCGGACAGTCGGACACACGGACACACGGACACTCGGACAGCCGGCAGGTGCGATCCCCGTCCCGCTGCCTCCCTCTCTGCCCCGCTTTCCGCTCGGTCCCCGCGCTCCTCCTGCGCGCAGCTCATCCAAGAGAGCGCGTATTTCCAAGGAAAGCGAATTTGGCACGGAGCCTTCTCCTCCCAGCCCGGCTCCGAAGCGCTTCCCTCCCCTGGGAGACGGGGCTGGGCACGCTGGTGCGGCTCATCTGCTGSCACCGCCACCCTGCCCACGTGGGACCGGGGACAGGGGCAAATAATCCTCATTCCAGGGAAGTTATTCCCTTCTCTGGCGCTTTTTCCGCTCCCTTTTAACTTTTACAAAGTAGGCTCCATCTCCAGCACCAATCTCAGCCTSCCTTGTATACATCAGTTTACATATGTATGACATAAAAAGTTTCTGTATAACTTAGTTTATAGATATAAAGCTATATTTCAGTTTATAGACATAAAAAAGTTTCTATATAGCTTAGAAATATAAAGCTATATTTCAGTTTATAGACATAAAATTTTTCTATATAAGAGATATAAAGATACATTTCAGTTTATAGACATAAAAAGTTTCTATATACCTTAGAGATATAAAGCTGCATTTTAGTTTATAGACATAAAAAGTTTCTATATAACTTAGAGATATAAAACTACATTTTAGTTTATAGACATAAAAAGTTTCTATATAACTTAGAGATATAAAACTATATTTTATTTTATAGATATAAAACTATAGTTTAAATATAGTTGTAGTATTGTAGAGTAACTTGCAGTTTATTTTTTTAAATAATACAGTTTGAGATAAACTTACATGTTGCAGTAGCTCATTGTTTTATAGTATCTTACATTAATTAACTATAACTAATACACCTCAACACATACCATGTGCCAAGTTTTAAGAGGTTTCCCCTGGGGTACATGGCAGCTCCCTGGATTCAACCCAGCTGAAAACCAGGAAGAGACTGGTTCATCTGTGGCCCTTTTTCTCACTCTTTTTGGGGAAATCCTGATATTTGTTTTCTCAGAAACATATTTCCAACAGCCCAGGATGTGTTGTGCTACACACACACAACGCGGTGTCATTAATGAAATCGATTTGTCTGAGAGTAAAGTCTTATCTTTCATCTTTTTCATCCCTCTAAAATAACCTTCAGTGCTGAAGGAAATGTRCAACAGTTGGCTCACATGGAATATGAATTCTTACTCCTGTGCTGAAAATACCAGCTTATATTTTCATCATGTATATTGTRTTTCTTGGTCCAGTCAGCTGGGAGAAAGTTTTACATCTGTTAGCCCAGTCTTTATTCTGGCTTTGTGCTCACATTTTTTGTGTGTTTCTCATAACTTTAATACCACAAAAAGCATYATTTCATGTCTTGGTACCTGAGTCTTTTGATATATTTGATTTCCAGCCTGTGGGTGTTCCTGTCCCATATTTGCAGTGATCATCCTCACTTTCTCAGTTGCYATCCCAAAAAGAATTCAGTGATTTTATTGTGTCTGTTGGCCTTCCTTTTATAAAAATGCAGCTGTATTTCCATCCTGAAGTTCTAGTTTTTTTTTCCTTTAAATCTGAAAATGGTGCATCTTTTTATTTTGAATATAGGAATCTTCATCTTCTAAAACTGGAATAAAACATGTTTTGCTTTTTCACTGCTTTGCAGAATTTATATATACATACATAAATATGTATATTTTTTTTTTTTTTTATGAAAAGCTGCTACCCTTCAAACTTTTAAACCCTTTTATCTGACATAGATGGCTTTGTCACCTCTGCCTCTGAGTGCAGTGTGGGAGCTCAGTCCTGCTGGGTATGGTCTGTGAAGCAGAATATCCTGGAAATCGCCTCTTAGGGATTTCACAGATGTTTTTATTTTTTTTCCCTTTCCAGGGTACCCAGTCCTCTCCCCCCTCAGTCCTGATTTCTGAGGGCAGAGCACAGGCTACAGAAAATGTGTTTAATTTTGCTGCCATTTTCAGCTCAGTCAGTCTTGTGGAAATAYTATGAACACTCTCACACCTCGAGAAGTGGTAGAAAAATAAACTTTTCCATGATGTCATTTAGGACTTGGCTTTTTGGTAGCTAAAGGAGCTTTAGCAGCAGATCATTATTTAACTCACTGCAATGTTTAAAGGGCACACAGACGAATATTTACATTTTCAAGCATAACAAGAAACATTTTCATAAAACATAAAGCCAAGTGTACTTTAATTAACGACCTGARGAATGTGATTTGGGGAAACTTTACAGGGAAGAACTTTGCAGGACATCAGGCAGCACCAAATCCACTGCTCCACCTCCTGCAGTCAACACAAATAATTCCCTCTTTTGTCTCTGTCTGTACTCACCTTAAAGAAGATTAATTCATCCAAACACACCTATCAGTATCTATTCCTGGGTAAATAAACTTTCCCCTGTATTTCTTTCTCTGGGATTTTAATACTTTTTAAGGGTATGGATATGGTTTCCATCTGCTCCTTGCAGACCCACCTCTCTTTCTGGGATGTGCATGAATTCAGCCAGCTGGGACCACATAAAAATCTGTCTTGAGGCACAATTTTAGTCTTCTTCACCATAAAATGTTATTACTATTTTTTTTTATCTGTCAGCATCCTAGAAACAAGTTACAGAAAAAGAGGTTTTTCTTCTCAGGGTGGCACAGAAGTATTAAGATCACTGAGGGCTCAGAAGTTTTGGGCCTAAGGGCTTTTTCTTTCTTTTAGCCTGGGAAGCATCACAATAACTTATAAAAACCTGCAGTTGATGTGGAAGGAGATAAAGCAAACTCGGATTTTTGTAGAAAACAGATGAACCATCCGCATCCTCCCTCCTGAAATGATGTCAGTGAAAAGGAAAAAGTCATTTTACACCTTACTTTAAATGTTTGTCCTGCTGAAGTGAAACACAAAATGCTGTGGTCTGCAAATGAGCAGGGGTTTCCCCCTCTTTTCCTGAAAAAAGATTCACTTTGAGGATGATGGTTTGCTCTCTTAGCTGGGTTAACACTTCTCAAGCCACGTATTTTAAGCCCATTACATCTGGAAAATGAGGCACTGCCAGCTCTTCCTTGCTTCTAGCAACAACTTCCCTCTAGGAAAGGTTTAGAGTGGGAGTTTGGGGAAGTTTCATCATGGAAAAGGTGATCAAGGGTTGGAACAGGCTGACCACACCAGTGGTGGATTCAGGGATTTAAAAGCTGTGTGGGTGTGGTTTGGGGACAGGGGCAGTGATGGGATTGGCAGTTCTGGGGTAATGGATGGACTCAATGATCTCAGAGACCTTTTCCAACCTAAAATGACTCTGGAAAGTGCAAATTCAGGACAGSATTTCACCGAGGAGAGATCAAGTTGTACCTGTAAGCACAGCCCTTGCTGAGGATCTTAACTTGTATTTGTGCTACATATTTGGGTTTAATTCACCTTCCAACAGCCTAWTCCTGCAAATTCTCATTTGGAATGAGCACCGTTTTTTTTTTTTTAGTTGGACCAAAGCTTTGTGGTTGGAAAGAAAAGACAAAAAAAAATAGGCATCTCTCTTTTCCTTCCATTCCAGAGTAACTTTCTGAGGTAGCACATAAGGTTTCTATATGCTTTGGCAACGAAACAACTCTAAAAATAACTTTCCTCCTGAACACCAGTGAAGTTTCTGTTCCTTTGTACTTCAGATCTGTAGTAAATCATGAAGCACAGAATGGAGCAAGAAAAGRGAATTACACTTTTTCAAGTCGCTTTCTTTGCCACATAAAGCATTTACCCCCACTGTCAACCGGGTCAAACCATCTCAGGGGAAATGGAAACCTAAAACTGATGCTGGGAAATACAGAATAAACTGCATTGAACGTTTATGTGGCTCTTTGGTGGCTGTTTTTTCCACGTGTAACAGAGACAGGTTCTGCTCACCTGCACGCCCTGAGTGCATCCCTGGGGTATCCTGGCATTTAAAACCCTGCTTGCACTTGTTGATAAGGCAGATCCTGCAAAGAATGATTCTTACCACAAAAAAAAAGACTGGAAGCATAAACAAGCTCTTTACACTGAGCTTTTTTCACTCATTTAACTTTAAAGGTAATAGAATTATTTTACCAGGTGAGGGATGCCAAATACAAGCAGAATCTCAACATTTTTCTTGGAACATATCAAATAATGGTACAAAATACCCTCCTGAGCAGGCTGCTGTTCCCTTTGGGCAAACAGATTTTAAAACAAACCGATGCCATTAATGAAGGCAATTATTTCCTTCAGCAGTTGTTTATTTGAACTGGTTCGAAATGCAGCGTGCATCCTGGCTGGGGATTTTATCCCAGTGCATTCTCTCTAACTTTTTCTCCCAAGAACAACATGACCTTCAGATAATCATTCAGCAAATTGCCTTTGTGCTTGTGTCTGGAGAAGGAGCTCGGATTGCCATGGAAACAAAAGTTCCTTGTTCTCTTAGACTTCCCCGTGCTGTGATATCATTTTCACTCTGTGAACCCTTTTCGCAGCCAGAAATGGAATTGTGGGATTTTCTTGTTTTGAGCACCTCAAAGTGATGGATCAGCTCGTGGCTCAAATGGTTTGAATGCCAGGCAGAGGCYRCACCCTCCATCCTTATTATTTGGGRATATTTAGATCAGATCCATCTGCATCAGTCCATTCCTGCTGGGGAAATGAAAATATTCCATGTACACTTTCCCAGAGTTCTCTTTACTTTTTCCTTCTGTGCTGAACAAATGAGAAAAACTAGAATTTTAAGAAAGGCAAAATTAAACAGTGACATAAAGAAAGCCAAAAAGGAATTTCTGGCATTTTTGCAAAGAATGTAATAGTTTYTTGGGKTTTTTTTATGATRGGAACTACATTTCTCCATGCCCCAGAATGCCTGTAGGTTTTTTGTTGACAACACAYTGCCCTGGCATTTGGCAGCCCCTGCTGGACCAAGGCCAGCAGAATTTTCACTAGGAAAGGGGCTGGAGAGGCTGACTTGAGATTAAAAATTCTGTAATGCTAGCCCTAAAAAAAGGAGCACTATTTTTTTTTCCTAATACTATTTGTATTTTGTTGATTGGAAAGACTGCAGTTTTGCCCTAGTCAAGGGTTTAGAGTTGTTTGAGTTGTCCAAAAGTGGGCAAGTTTAACGTGTGAATTTTATTTTAACTGTAAAACTGAGACAACAGCAACGAGTGGATGACAGTGGTTACATGGAACAGTTGGAGAAAACGGGATGAAATTCCCCTGCTGTGCTCACAGYCTGTCTGGAACGTCCCTTTTTGGTTCACTTGGATGAAAACAGCCACTTGCAGCAAATCCCCGTGGACATCATCTACCTGCCAACATTCGAATCCCGAAAAGTAACGACTCTCACATTTCAGTCTGGTATTTCCTGGCCTGAAATCGCTGCACATGTGCCATGTGGAGTGTGAGCAGCATGTTTAACACATCCCAGGCAGCAGCAGAGAAATGCAGAGTGGGGTTTGTCTGAGATTGACTCAAAGGTCATTTTTTTCCTGGGATTTTTTCAGCATCCACAGCTGAAGTGCAGCCTGAGAAGACACGAATTAAAGTCCAATGGGAACTGAGGATGGCACATAAATGTGTTAATATTGTTATGTTAAATATGATAGAGCTGGCAAATGTATTATTGGAAAGCAGTTCTTAAAATTCTATATTTAAGGATGGCAAAATTCCAAATTTAAGAAATATTTTTAATATATTTAAAATTCCATATTTTATAGACAGAAGAGCAAGGARTTATTCCTTTCAGACACCAGCAGTATCCATGGYTGGGATTATTTTGGGTGAAGAAATMCTTMATRCAATACAATATTTTCATATGATAACAATGTCTC